AGGGAAGAGGGTAGATGGATAGATAGATATTGTTAATAGCAGGTGGGCGTAGATGGATATAGATGTAGATAATAGATGGATAGATGGATTTTGTTGAACTTTTTCATGTTTTAAGAACTTTTTTTCATATTTAGATTTAGATATGTGTGAATACTGATATTTTCTACGTTTCTGAGTATCAGATTGAAACGTTTTCGTGTAATTAATTAATAATAATAATTTCTACTATCATTATATACTGAATAAAACCTTTCCTTATTAAGGTCAAAAATTGGGTTATTATCAATTTCTTCTTTTTACTTTAAATTAAATGCTTTCTTTTTTACTTACAATTTTCCTTTTTTCGTGTTTTTTTTATTTTTTACTCTTTTTACTTTTTCCTTTGTCCTTTTTTCTTGTTTTTTGCTTTTTTACCCTTTACACTTTATTTTTTTTTACATTTTTCCTTTTTTTACTTCACTACTTTTTCGGTGTTATTTACTTTTTACTTTTTTTACTTTTTTACTTCTTAATTTTTTACTTTTTTTCATTTTTCCTGTTTCCTTTTTTCTTTTTTTCCCCCTTTTTTTCTTTTTTTCCATTTTTCCTTTTTACTTCTTTACATTTTCCATGTTTCCATTTTCCTTTTTTTACTTTTCTTACTTTTTCCCTTTCTTTCCTTTATTTAATTTCTCCTTTCTACTTTCTTTACTTTTTCCCCCTGACCAGCCCAACGGAGGTGCTCGGGACGTCAAGCAAGATCCACGGTTGCATCTGCATGGCCCTCATTCGGACTCTGCCAAAGGTCTTCGAGTCAGTGCTCTTCCAGGCCATAGTCAAGGCAGACGTCAAGGAGCAGGCCAAGGACTTTTATGTGAGTGTTGGGTATTGGTTATAGGGATTTTGATTTATTTATTTTTAGAATTTTTTATAGTGTTAGTTATGGTGATTTTGTTTGGTTGTTTGTTTTTAGAATTTTGTTATGGAGTAGGTGGATTGGTGGATGTATAGAGTAGATGGATAGGTGGATTTATAAAGGAGATGGAATGATGGATGTATAAAGGAGATGGATAGGTAGGTGAATAAAGTAGATGGATAGGTAGGTGTATTATTTGCAGGGATTTTATTTATTTATTTATTTTTAGAATTCTTTTTTTTAGATTTTGTTTTTATCTTCTTTTTTTTTAGAATTGGGTATATACTGTAGGTGGTCACGTAATGTTGAAGTTCGTTATGTGATAAAAAAAAAAAGTGTGTAGAATATTATGAAAATTCAAGAAAAGTGGATTTTTTTAATGTTGTATGGGACATACTTATGAAGAAAACTAGGTTAAGTGAGAAATGAATTTGATTTGTGGTTTGAAAGGGTCTTTTGTAGATGAAATTGCATAACCACTGCAAGATATGTTTAACTGATATATACCCGTAAAGTAATATTACTGTAAGAATAAATGAAATACCCTTTTATTCTTTCTGTTGTCTTTTTTTTTCTCTCCTCTTCTTTTCCTACCTCCTCTTTCTCTTCCTGTTTTTCTTCCTCTCCCCTCTTCTCCTGCTCCTTCTCCTCCTCCTCCTCCTCCTCCTCTTCCTCCTCCTCCACCCCACCCCCTTTCCTTCCTCCTTTTCTACCTCTCCTTCCTTCCTCTACCCCACTCCCTTTCCTTCCTCCCTCCTTCCTGTTCTTCCTCCTCCCCTCCGCCTCTTCCTCCTCCACCACCCCACCCCCTTTCCTTCTTCCCTCCTTCCTCCTCTTCTACCTGCCCTTCCTCCCTCTTCCTCCCCCTTCCATTCCTCCTCTTCTACATCCCCTTCCTTCCTCCTCCTTCCCCCTCCTTCCTCCTCCTTCCTCCTTCTTCCAACAGATCAAGTACAACTTCTACCCGCTGCAACTGACCCCTGAACAACTCGACGCAGAGAAGATCAAGCAGAAGAATCCGAATTTTCGTCCAGAGCCCCTGTATGCTTGCAATGTAGGTCATTTTGCTTGCAATGGAGGTCATTTCCGAGGTCGTGCTTGTTCGTTGCATGGCTTGCGTTTTGTTATTGATGTTATTGTTATTATTATCATCATTATTATTATTATTATTATTATTATTATTATTATTATTATTATCAACGTCATTGTTATTGTTATTTTTACCATCATTATTATTATTATTATTATTATTATCATCATCATTATTATTACTATTATTATCATTATTATTATTAATGTCATTACTATTATTATTACTATTATTAGCATTATTATCATTATTACAATTATTTTCATCATTATTATTACTGTCATTATTATTATTATTACTATTATTATAATCATTATCATTATTCTGTTATTATTGATGTTATTATTATTGTTATTATTATTTGTTATTATTATTATTACCTTCGTCAAGGAGTGTTGGTTAGTTAGTTTGTTAGTTGGTTATCAGGATAACTCAGAAAGTTAAAAATGATTTTTTATTATCTTTTTTTACCGGTGTGTCTTAGCCCAACTTAGATGCCATTAAATTTTGGTGGTGATCCGGAACCAGGATGGTTAGCAGGAATAACTCGAACAGAGAGAGAGAGAGAGAGAGAGAGAGAGAGAGAGAGAGCCAAAGAGAGAGAGAGAGAGAGAGAGAGAGAGAGAGAGAGAGAGAGAGAGAGAGAGAGAGAGAGAGAGAGAGAGAGAGAGAGAGAGAGAGAGAGAGAGAGAGAGAGAGAGAGAGAAAGATAGAGGGAGAGAGAGTGAGGGCGAGTGAGAGAGAGACAGAGACAGAGACAGAGTGAAAGAGAAAGAGAAAGAAAAAAAATACCAGAGGTGTGTCTTAGGATTCATTAGCATTGCGAGATAGGGAAACACGGATGTCACCAGTGTACTTGAGAAAGAGGTGATTTTAACGTAATTCTTCAAGTGTGAATATCTTTATTGCGTCAGTGACCCTATTTCCTTGGCGGAGGCTATTAGTTATTATTATTATTGTTATTATTTTTGTTATTATTATCATCACATTATTATTATTACTATTATTATTATTATTATTATTATTATCATCATCATCATCATTGCAGTGATATATAATTTATAGGTTATGTTTATTCATTGCTTAGCTTGTTTTTTTATCACTTCATTGTATGTCTTCCCCTTCCATGCTTGTTTATTGCTTGTATTTTCGGAAGGGGGTTGCTTGTTTGCATGTCAGGTTGCGTGCTTGTCAGATCTTTGATTGCTTGCAGTTGGAGTTTGCTTGTGGAGTTGATTGCTTGCTGGGTAATGTGCTTGTAAGATTGCTTGTTTGTACGAATGGTTGATTCGTTGTCAGATAGCTTGATTGTTGGTTCGTCTGCTTGTTATTATTGTTTGTTAGATTGCTTGCTTGTTGAATAGTGTTTCTTGAATTGCTTGCTTTTAGAATTGATCGTCGTTCATTTGTTTGTATGTCCGATTCGTAGATAGTGTCATGGCCATCAAAGCATTTTTTTATATGTGTTACATATTCTTAAAAATCCTGAGTGGATTTGACGCTTCGTTAAGTTGTTTGTTTACTTCTGTGATTGTTGTGTTTTGATTGCTCAAGATATTTTTTTTTTTATGCTGGTTTTCTTGTCTCTTTGAGTCTTCTGTTAGTATCGGCACGGTGAGTTTGTGTTTGTGTGTGTGAGTTTGTTTGTGTGTGTGTGTGTGTGTGTGTGTGTGTGTGTGTGTGTGTGTGTGTGTGTGTGTGTGTGTGTGTGTGTGCGCGCGTGTGCGTGTGTGTTTGCACTCGTGTTTTTTTATGTTGATATGCATGGCTGTTCAAATCAACATCCTTTCTACACGCATACTCTGCTATAACCCCCATAATTCCACACGACAAACCCTACAACCTCACAACCAGAACCCCCCACAACCAAAACTCAGCCCCCCCCCTCAACCCCCCACTCCCCTCCCCCCACAGGCGATGGTGGAGTCCGGCCGAGTGGAGCTCCTGATGCACCCCCTCACCCAGAAGTTCCTCGAGATGAAGTGGCAGGCCTATGGGAAGTACATCCACCTCTCCAACCTCTTCGTGTACCTCGTGTTCCTGGCGCTGGTCACCATCTTCGCCGTCGGGGTCCTAGGACAGCAGAGTTTCGTCATGTCCAATGTAACGAGGGTTCCTGTGGATAACGTGTCGGATATAACGACCACCGGCGAGTTTCAGTTACATGTGAGTTCGGTGGGTTTGTGTAATTGTAATGTCACGGCGGAGAAGATAATGATATGGTGGTAAAATGGCAATTGGAATAATGGGACTGATTCAGAAACAAAAGATAAAAATGATAAAATGATGATATAATGAAAAAGAATTATGAAAAGAATGGACTTCGTGTTGTTGTTTTGATTTTATTTATTATAGGGTGTAGTTCATGTAAAAACGAATCAGTATCCTATGATAGAGAGTAGTGAAGGCATAGGTTTGTTATTGAATATTAATCAAATTCATCCTTTGTGATATAGGCCTATGTTTTTTTGAATTGGGTGTATTTCATGCATAAATCAATCACTATCCTCTGTTTAAAAAAGCTGAATCAAGACACAGAATAAAAAACTGAATATAAATCATATGTAAACAACGAATGATAATGATAACACTTACATCAATAAGTCTAAACCGCCATTACCTTAACAAGCAATTAAACTACAACGCGACTTTTGCAGATCGAAGACACACCTGGCTGGATGTTCTGCATGGCCATCGGGATAACTGTGTTTGCCGTGTTGAGTATGATGAAGGAGGCATTCCAGATATACTACCATCGACTTAAGGTCCTTGCGATATGCTGTACTCATAATGAATAGATTAATCTAAGATGAATATCTGTAATGTGCTTAAAAGAGTTTCCAGTTGAGGTTATGTATATTCGTGCAGGAACAGAGTATAGATCTTTTTGTTCCATTGTAATATCATGACTTGGAGAAGGTAATGGCATTGTGGTGAAATGGCAATGAAATAATTAGACTCATTCAGAAACAAAAGATAAGAATGATAAAATGATGATATAATAAAAAAGAATTATGAAAATAATGGGCTTCATCAAAACCATTAAAAAATTGTATCAAAGAAAAAAAAATAAATAAAAAAATAAACTTACCTATGATACAAAAGTGCTTTAACACAGAACCACAAAACACAACCCCAATTAAAAACACACACCAGTAAACCACTTTCTTAACCCCTTCCAACAGTACCTGGCAGAAGCGATCAACTTCGTGGAATGGACAATGTACCTGGCATCGATATGTATGGTGATGCCTGTGTTCCTTGGCACCAATTGGCACAACCAGCAGTACAACTCGGCCGCCCTTGCTGTCTTCTGCTCTTGGTTCATACTCCTCATTTACTTTCAGAGGTGATTAGGAATAAGAATTGTTACTGTTGCTATTACTCCATTAATTATAATGTATATGATATGAAAATAGTAATGATAGTAATTATGGCATTGATGGTGATGATGATAATGATAATGATAGTAGTAGTAATAATAATGATGATAATAATGACACTAATAATAACCACAAAGATGATAGTAGGAGTTACTGTTGCTATTACTCCATTAATGATAATGTATATGATGATTATGAAAATAGTAATGATAGCAATTATGACAATGATGGTGATGATGATAATGATAATGGTAGTAGTAGTAATAATAATGATGATAATAATGACAATAATAATAACCACAAAGATAATGGTAATCATCAATATTATCAGTAATCTTTTTTTCGGATTTATAGTTAATATCATGAAAGAACAAAATTAGTATTGGCACTTCGAAGCTACAATGCAATATTTATTACTTGCAGACTCGATTATACTCTAATTGCACCTGCAGACTCTTTCTTTCTTTCTTATTCATTTATTTATTCCTTCCTTATGATCTTTCTACAGGTTTGACCGGATTGGGATATACATTGTGATGTTCCTTGAGATTCTGAACACACTTATAAATGTTCTTCTTGTGTTCTCTGTTCTTATCGTCGCCTTTGGACTTGCCTTCTATATCCTGATGTCACATGTAAGTTTGTTTGTTTAGACACTTCATCTGTTGACAGTTCTTTCGAAATACGGTAGATTGATTAATTATGACAGATACGCGAATTAATTTCTTGTTTTATACTTTCAACTACAGTATTGTCATAGAATGATTAATATATTGGTATTAGATATATATATTTATTTTACGTTTAGATTTCTCCTCTGGGTTTCTTGACTTAAATATCCCACAAAAAAGGATATATTTATTGAGAAAATTAGCCATAAAAGACAAAATAACGAAGGGAAGAATAAGAAAATTCATGAATATACCCGAAGGCCTTTTCGCTGTCTTGCTTCTCCAGAACAAGAAGAAGCAATATAGCAAAGAGAACTTTATTCGTGTGTTTTCTTGTCCTTTCCTTCGTTGTTTTATAAATAATTCGTTAAGCGTGAGCCCTGCATAGACCTGGACATATACAAAGACATTATATATAGTTTATGTACCTTATTAATCTCCAAAATTATTCCATTTAGACACCGCCAATAGGGATAAATGTAAAAGAAATACATATACGAATAAAATAATACTCCATTAGCCAAATCTAAACCTAATTCCATACCACCTAACCATCCCATCATCCCATCTCTCCCTCTCTCTTCCTTCCTTCCTTCCATTATCACTTATTTACCCCCCTTTCTTCCCCCTCTTTCCGCTCACGCCGAAGGGAGGTCAGCTGTCCTTCTCGAACGTGCCGATGTCGATGCTGCACACTTTCTCCATGATGCTCGGGGAGGTCGACTTCTTGACCATCTACGTCTACCCCTTCTACCAGGAAAGCACCCGGGGGGACATCCTGCTCTTCCCACGCACCACGTTCGGTTGGGCCCCCCTGTGTTTTTTTCTTTTCTTTTCTTTTCTTTTTTTTCTTTTCTTTCTTTCTTTCGTTTTTGTTTTTTTATTAGGTGATTGGATGATTTTCTTTCCTTTTTTCTATTTTTTTCTTTCTTTCTTTTTATTTAAGTTATTGGCTGATTTTCTTTCCTTTTTTCTATTTTTTTTCTTTCTTTCTTTTTATTTAAGTGATTGGCTGATTTTCTTTCCTTTTTGTATGGAAGGATTGACTATTTTCCCTTTTGTTTTTTATAAGGGATTGGCTATTTTATTTTATTTTTATTTAATTATTTTTTTTTTTTTGTATGAAGGATTAATATTTTTATTATTGTGTGATTAACTATTTTCCTTTTATTTTTTCATTAAGTGGTTAGCTATTTTTTTCATTAAGTGGTTTATTTTTTTATTAAGTGATTGACTATTTCCGTTTTTTATTGTGATTAACTATTTCTCTTTTCTTTTTGTTAAGTGATTAAGCTATTTTTCTCTTCTTTTCTGTATTAAGGGATTAACTGTTTTTATTATTATGTGATTAACCATTTTCCTTTTCTTTTTTTATTAAGTGATTGACTATTGCCTTTTTTATTGTGATTAACAATTTTTCTTTTTTTTATTGATTAACTTTTTTTATTTTGATTAAAAAAT